CCAACAGGACTGTAAACATTAAGGGAATATGGTAGCTATATTACTACTTCTCAGAGTTTACCAACAGGACTGTAAACATTAAGGGAATATAGTAGCTATATTACTACTTCTCAGAGTTTACCAACAGGACTGTGAACATTACGGGAATATAGTAGCTATATTACTACTTCTCAGAGTTTACCAACAGGACTGTGAACATTACGGGAATATAGTAGCTATATTACTACTTCTCAGAGTTTACCAACAGGACTGTGAACATTACGGGAATATAGTAGCTATATTACTACTTCTCAGAGTTTACCAACAGGACTGTGAACATTACGGGAATATAGTAGCTATATTACTACTTCTCAGAGTTTACCAACAGGACTGTGAACATTACGGGAATATAGCCTCAGAGTTTACCAACAGTACTGTAAACCTTACGGGAATATAGTAGCTATATTACTACTCCTCAGAGTTTACCAACAGTACTGTAAACATTACGGGAATATAGTAGCTATATTACTACTTCTCAGAGTTTACCAACAGGACTGTAAACATTAAGGGAAACTATTCTAATTTACTATGATGTAATTCTGCTAGCTTAAAAGTATCAAAATCCTTTCAGACAGAAATATCAGTAATTCTTCTTCTTATTATTATTATAAAAAATGAAATTTTCTAGCACCATCAAGCATGCTCTGTTCTTACCAATAATTTTGTTCAGCTACCAAGCCCCCACGTTTACTCGGTGTCATAATATTCAATCCTAAACTTATATGATTGCAAGATAAAACCAGTTATTGAACTCTGGATAAGCCTTATGGCCATGTTACTGGGCATACTTGGAGACAGCGTGCCTAGCTTATATGTACATCATAATTTCTTGAAAACAAAAATCACTTTGTCAATAAAGTTTAAAAATGTTTATAGCAGAAGAAAAGACGTCTCATTGTGCCCACAGTGATGTTACAAAACACACAAAATGTTAATAGCAGAAGAAAAGACGTCTCATTGTGCCCACAGTGATGTTACAAAACACACAAAATGTTTATAGCAGAAGAAAAGACGTCTCATTGTGCCCGCAGTGATGTTACAAAACACGTAAAATGTTTATAGCAGAAGAAAAG